TTGAATACTTAGTAACATAACAAGTGTTCTTTAGTCCTTTTTTAATATTATTATTCTTTTAATATAAATTTGATATTCGATCCGAAATCAACGTTCAATTCTTGGAATAGTTCTAATTTTTAAATCTTTAGTAAATGGCCTTAGGACACATTCACTTAATCGCTATATCGTTAGTATATAAATATATCGCGAGACCATTTTCTTCACTTGATAATATAAATGTATAGAGATTTTTATTAATCTAAAATTCTTCTTGTATGTAGAAAATTATTTATTTTGTTCCTATTAATCAAAAAAATTGATTGAAGAATAATAATGAAAAAAATTGGTCCCTTCCTAAATATTATGTAGTCTTATTATGTTTACGAGAGAGACGATGTTTGCATGAAGAATCATGTTTGGCAAAAAAAAAAAAAAATAGGTTTAATTTTTCGGATGGTTGGATCAAGAAACAAGGTCGATTCGAGTTCAATCTCTATGATCACTAATCTCTATAGGATAAATAGTATTGGCCATTGCACAACTCCTCCTTTATCTAATATCTTAATTAGCGAAACATTAATCTTGATTAGTGAAATAATTTTATCTTGACCCCCCTTTTTTTGTTTACACCCAGAATTCATTGTCTTATATTGATATCTGATACTAAAATTGAGTTTGTTTGTCTATATTTGTTGCTTCCTAATTAATTTCTCTGGCACACTTTGTGACAACATGTGAAATTGGTACAAGCAACCTTCCAAATTGGGCTCAGAAGGGGTTGCATTCCAAGTCCAAGCACAAGCACTTCATTGCTGGGAGACCAAGCATTCATAATTGCAAGCAACAAGTAGGGCTCATGCCTGTGTGTTGGTACAGTGACATGCAGTTCGATCATGTCTTTCTTGTTCATTGGTGAAATAAATGTAAGGTGATACCATCTTTGATCCTTATTTGACTCAAATCTAGATAGTCAAACCATCAATCTTGATTTTGACCAACGTTGACTTTGATCCACGTTGCTAAATCCAATTGGAAATAATGAGTAATCGAAGTAATGATGAATATTTCACAGGTTCAATAAATTTAGAATCTAAAACATTTGTATAATGACAGTATATCTAAAATCTCGATAATTTTTAATTTAAAATATTAATCTGATAGTAATAAAATCCAAATTCAACGATAATAATCGCCTTTCATGTGAGCTAATTATAATTCGATTCGATGACTTATTCTGAACCGAATTAGAATCGGATATGGACGATTCAATTACTAAGAACCGAAACCAATGATATATAATTTGGAACTACTGACTCTGATTTTGATTTTTAAAATTTAAAAAACCAATGATACTGATTCCGAAATGCTAAGATGCAGCAATCTAATTGTTGGCATGGCTAAGAGGCAATAAGGGAGTTGCTTGAAGATGACTGTGAGCTATAATTAATCTCATGGTCACTGACTCCACTAGTGCAACATCATCATCATATGACATTGTTTGAAAATATAGGTCTATGTCATTTGCCCCCTTTTGACTTACCCCACCATCAATGACTTAGATCACACTGTTTACTCATCCCTGTGAAGTATTATGGTCTTTCTTCTCAGTCTCAGTTCAAGGAAAAGCAATATGTATAGTAAATTTTCTTGCAAGTAAAACAACAAGATGCATAAGTTGCAGATACTGATGGTGGTATCTGTGTAGAGTCTAAGAGCATTAGCTTTATTAACTGTTAGCTAGTTAAAACGAATACATATTAAGACAGCAAGAACGAAAAGCCACACTGTTTGTTCAAGTCAACCAACCGACACTGTGAGAGAGACAAATGCATGTGTTCCAGAACTGAACAAAGCACAGCCAGCCTATCTTCGTGGTGCACAAATGTCATGCACTATTCTATTCAACCAAACCTAGCAAATGGGAGTACAGTCTGTGCATGCCGTATTATTGATTGTCGTGTCCAGGCATTGAATATATATATATATATATATATATATATATATATATATATATATATATATATATATATATA